AACTCCTGGATGTGCCCACAGGCCTCCAAGAAGAGGTGACAATTCTCTCCCTGACAGTTTCCTCTCTGAAGACAGATGGTCCACAGACATCTGGTCAGTCCCACACCATCCCAGACATGGCTGGTGTGGGGTGCAGGTCCACCCCAGCTCTTCTCTCCCATATGGGGCATGTGTCCCCACTATCCCACGGCCACAGGCAGGCATCTGTATCATGGGAGTGCAAGAAGCAGTGGAGAGGTGGGGTGTGAGGCTCTCAGGTGCCTTCCTGGCTTTGTTTGCTCGCCTGCAGAGAGTCCTTGCAGTCACTGCAGAGCTCGTGATGCCGCAGTCAATTTACACCACCAGCAGCTCCAAACAAGCTGCTTCAAAAGCAGCCAGGAGGATCCAAGGCTCTCAGTGGGGAGTGTTCTCACCTAACTAAAAAGGAACCATTTTCTGCTGGATTCCCAAATACCAGCACCTGGAAGCCTCTGAGAGCCCCCTCAGACCCTGCTGTGTCAGTTCCCTGCCAAGAGAAGAGCTGCTTCTTCCCAGCTGCCCCACACAAAGCTCACAGCCAGCGACAGTGCTGCAGGTGATGCCTTGGTCATGAACCTGAGGTCTCAGGGAGATGGGACTTCAGAAGGAGCAGCAAAAACAGGAATATTCACAACAAAACAATGGGACTTGATAGCCTGAAGTCTCCCTCTATTCTTATTTCAGTTCCAGACAAGTAGATTATGGAAAAATTGGCTAAATCTGAGACCAAGCAGCAGGATAGAGGAAGATTCATTATCTTGTTTTCTGAAATACTCTGGAAATTATCACGGCCACTCAATAACCCACTGAATTTGCCTACTATCCTTTCATTATAGCTCATACTTGCTACAAAGCTGTGTTTTATGGGCTTGAAAAGTTATACAGCCCCCTCTTTGGGGATTCCATTGGATCAGATATTTTGCAGCACTGCCAGAAATAACCAAACCCTTCATGAACTAAAGGGTTATTGCTGGCATGGAATTTCCTTTGTTCCAATTACAGAATCTCATTTTTCTGTCTTGCTTCCAATTGTGCTTTCATTGTTTATGATTTGTATGATTAAAACAAACCACAGTACGTTGGCAACAGCAGGGAAACATGAGACTTTTAGCTTGAAGAAGAGAATCTGGCAAGGTGCTAAAAATATATTAATTTAGAATTGTTACAAAGAAAACAAGAGTTATGCTGGTGATTTGGATTAACGTACACGTTTGTCTTGAGAAATTTGGAAATGGCAGTATCTAACAGTAAGCCTTAATGTGCCTGCAAGTTTTGCAGAGGGCAGATGTTGCTGTCAATCTATTCAGAACAGCTTCAAAAGAATATACTCATGTAAGCAGCTTACTAAACTCTGAGAATCTACATTTAATAGGCTTTTAGTATTAAATGCTGCAAACCCCTGATACTATATATAAAGTTCGAATCACCTTTCAGATTCCACCACTGAGCTCCCATAGAAACTGAGGTGAGTTTGATATCTCATCACCTACTTGACTTAAGCTGAAGGCTTTAAATGAGCTAATTACTCAGTCAGGACTTGGTGATAAGAATCATCCTCTGTTTTTTTCCTGCTTGGGATGGAGATAAGGATAAGAGGAGGGACAACATTTCACCACCTAACACCACCTGCAGGAGGTCTGGTGAGAGGATGGGCCATGAAGACAGAGGAAAGGAAGGGCATCCCAGAAACCCTCACTTAGGCAGTGTGGGTTTTTGCTGTGAACCTTTGTGGTGTCCCATAAAAGCACAGTGTGTTTTTACACACTCTGAAAAGTGTGAAAAGCAGGAATGTGTTGCCTTTTATTTTTTTTTCCCACTTTGGCTTATGTTCTTCAACCATGCAAAAGCACAGTAAAAGACACAAGGCACTGCTCTGCATTACAGAGAAATCCAACTTTACTGTGTGGTTACCACTGTTTGCAGGCAGTCATTTTGAGGCACCATGTCCCTAAACCCACAATAGGGATGGCAATCAAACCATTAACCCACAGATCAAACCTTCGGAAGGAGGATGAGTTTGTGCCATTAGATGGTCCAACATGGAGAAGCAAATGATCACAAAGGATCAAAAAGTAAGTTTCAAAAAAACCAAAACACAAGGTATTAAAAGCAGGGTAAAATACTCCAGCCTGCTGCTTTACACTGGAGCCCCAAACTGAGAGGGGCTTAAGAGCAAGGAGGAAACAGAGGATGGTCCAAGGCTCAAATTGGGAAGTGAGACACAGTGGAAAGATGCTGAGCACATCCAGTCCATGGGGAGGAGAGAAACTCTCATTGCCTGTGGGTAACAAAGCACTGGGGTAAACAGGGCAGAATAAATATCAAACCAGAAAAACCACAGGAGGAGGATTGCAGGGTGCAGAAGGGACTGTTTGCACCAAATAACAGGACACACATTGCTGGTATTATCAACTCCTTGGGTGCACTGGCAAGGGCTGTGAAGTTGCTATTCCAGGCTTGATTTAACATGTTATAGGAAAAGGACTTAGAATAACTAACAAATTTTGTCATGACAGGGAGGTCTAGAAATGGATAAATCAGTAGGGCTCTATTCTAACTTAATGAACACTCAGCTACTACATTAGAAATGCCAGAGGTAAATAGCCACAATCCCTACAAGAACACAATCAAATCCTGGACATCCCACCATGTCTCCTCCATCCTTCTTCCTGGCAGCCACCACATTATGTGGAACAAGCACTAGGACAGCAGCCTGAAATTAATACGAGGTATTCAAACCACACCAAATTTCTTGCAAGAAGTGGCAAGATGGAGTCTGATCACCAACAGACACACACCAGTCCAGCAGGAGAACAGAATTTCTCCAGTACATAACACACATTCTCAGAATAGCTCGAGTAAGAGCTGCTACACCATGAACAGATGCTTGGCTCCCTCTTGGGGAAAACACTGAAATAAAGGAACTGGCAGCTTGGGGTACTCGAGCACTGTTACCTTACATGCTCCTGATTTTCAGGAATCCTCCCAGACACTCTGAAAGAGATGCCAAGTTGGGAAGTCAAAGCACATGAAGCAGCCAGTGTAGAGATCATTTTAACTACATTTTTACTACATCTTTCCTTCTATTTGAAACATTCTGCAAGTGGGTCCTGGGAGAAGAGCACCCTTGACCATTGTCTTAGCTCAGCTTTATTTAGCTGAAGTCTCCCTGCTCACAACAAAATCTCTGATATCTGTAAGGGAACTCTTTCTAATATTTCACAGGAGCTGGCAGAGGTGGTGATATCTGTGCAACAGATCAGAGGGGGCAGGGAGAGGAGTGGAAAGGCACAGGCTCTTCAAGCACAGTAGAGGATTTATTCCTTAACTCAACAGCCAGGGGCTGAAATCTTGGTGCCTCCTTCACACACAGAGACTTTATCCTCTCCCTGCCTTTCCCCCCTGCATGCCATGGCACCTATGTGACGTGCCATACTGTGCCCACGATGGTCCCCTGGTGTTCTCAGCAGAAAGCTGAAGGCCATCTATCACCTGAAGTCATGCTGGATCTGCAGATAGCTCTGAATTTGCATCTGCAGGAGGATCTGGACTCCACACCCTTCCACTGCCCCCGCTTCGCCCAGCTGTGACATCAGCAGGACCAAGGCCACTGGCTGTGACCCCAGGGAATTGTTGTAAGCCAAGACCTCACCCCAGCTCCCCTCCCCAGAGCTGCAGTGTTTGCAGCCCTGCTTCAGAAGTTTTAATTAACAATCAGTGAGATGATACTGAAAGAATCTTTTTCTTTCCAACTGAATGTCTCAGGCATGGAAACTCAAGATTTTCCAGAAATAAGTACCAACAGAGGACACATTTTTCCTTGGGCAACCTAAGTACATTTTACTAAGCATGTGATCTTAGATGTTGAGTCATAGAGTTTGATGCTATTTTGGTCTATTCAGTGTTTCAGGTCAGTGTGTGATCTTAGATGTTGAGTCATTTTTTTTCAAAATAGAGTTTGATGCTATTTTGGTCTATTCAGTGTTTCAGGTCAGTATTGCAAGTACAGGCTAATTACCACCTGAAGTTACTGATCAAGAAGTCATAATTAATATCTCAACATTTCACCACTTCCTGATCTTATTTCTATTTCTTCCCTTATGCAAACTACTTAATAGCAAAAGATGCTTTGCAAAGTAGGGTGATTAGAGGAGATTTATGTATAATTATAAAAAAACATTTCCAAGTTCTATTTCCACATTATTTAACGTTCCCAAGGGGCATTTTTTGCAAGAAAAATCTTCATTTCTATTAACACTTGCTTCCTCTTTATGATATGAAGCCTGCACACGCCTGCCTCTGTAACCCCAATTTCCACCAAAACTGAGGAGTGAAATGGTGAGTGGGGCAGGGCAAAGTAGCCACAGGATGAGCTGGACCTTGGTGGGAATGGCTCCATCCAGAGAGGACAGCCAGGACTCGGTGGGGGGAAGGTGGTCAGAGGGCAGCAGTGGCACCACCAGAGTTCAGTGGTCCTCACCTCTTCCAGTTGAGAGCCACAGCATGGAGAAATTCAACAAGGGAGTCTTCCTTGTCCCTCCCTGGGTGGGACAGGGGATGCCAACCACGCTGTCCTGATGCCACAGCACCAAGCCTGGCGGGAGGCACCCCCAGCCCTGCAGTGCACGGGGACAACGCCCTTGCTGGGGCTCCAGAGGAGTGTGGTGCACTCTCCCATGGGAGCAGAGTCCAGCTGCTGCTGCTGCTCTCCTGTCCCTGGCCCACCCTGACCAAATCCCATCGTGGATGCAGAGTTTTCACAGAGAACTCAGTGGAGGGCAGCACACAACCACTTGTATCTGTGCAGACCTCACACATCCCTCTGAGCTGCAGCACAGCTGGACCCTTGCTCTGCACAAGGACCCTAAGGAGAGAGTCATGCCCTGTTCACACTGCTCCTGTGCCTGGCTAACAAAACATGAGCAGGATGGAGGAGGAGGAGGACAAGGGAGAAGAAAGAGGACAAGGGAGTTGTGATTCACCTCTCCACGACTTCTTGCCCATTCCAGCAACGGGTGTCATTCTGAACAGCAGAGCTGTGGTTGCAGATGTACTCTGGCAAGCTGCTGTAAAAACTGCTGTGGGACTTCAGCTTTGCAATCAGTTCCCTAGAAGAAAGGGAGAAAAAATGGGTGCTCATTTAAAAGAAGAAGAGAAGATGAGGTTGGTGCATTTTAACCAGTGAAGGTAGCCACACAAACACAACATTGAAGCAGCTGGTGCAAACAAACCCGAAGCATCAGTTTTATTTCCAACCAAAGCAGCTTTTTCTGGTTTTCCTTGATATTATTCATTCAAAGGCTGAACCCATGTTTCCCAGGGCAAAACTGGTGATGGGGAGGGATGTGGTGGGGGCAGCAGAACCTCAGCCCAACTCTGCACCAGGCAAAAGTCAGACACAGTCTCTGCACTCTCACAGCACCTAAGGAAAGGTGCCACTGGCTCAGGCCACACATCCATGGGGTGCATCTGAGCAGCAAGGGCTCAGGCTTTAGTGTCCCCTCTGCTTTGCAGAAGGCAACAGAGGCCCCTTCAGGGGCTTTTTCTGGCTGACATTGGCCATCCAGCATTGCTGCAAGGGCAGGTGCCATTTTTGGTGGTGGTCCAGAGCTGACATTCTCAGCACAGACCTGTACACATGGCTAAGGCTGTGCTTCATGCTGCACCATCAAAAGGACACGATTTCAAGGGATGCACTGGGCTGGCCAAGGGGTCACAGTCTGCATTCAAAGGGACAGGTTACACTCATCAAAACGGCTCTGCTGCAGAAGGCAGAGGAGCTACAGGAGCAGTGCTTGCACCACACAGAGGGGATGTGAATCAGGCTGCATCCCAACCCTGTGCCTTCCCTTCCCAGCAACAAGGATCTCCAGCTGGTCACTTGCAGCAGTGGTCCAGAGGGCCAGAATACCAGATCCCATCAGGGATCCCAGGCTTACCATGGGGTCCCTAATGTTTCCAGAGAGGTGACAGAAGCTCTGGAGTGGGATGTGACATTCCCCCAGCCTAGCTCTGATTCTTCAGGAACACTCAGCAGCTGTCATCAGGGAACAGTAGCAGATATAATTAGGTAAATAACACCAGAAGTAAGATAATATGAATATCAGGGACTGGAGGCAGTAAGACTTGGCCTCACAGCTGTCTTGTTTGGTTTCAGCACATTTCCCCCTTTGGCAAGGGGGTATTGCTCAGCCTCCTTGCTCCCTGGGAGGAATGATGAGGAATTAGCCCCTGGAGCAGGCAGCACTCTCAGGGCATCCCCCGGGTGCTGCACAGGGGTATCCGTGCCCTGCCAGCTGTGACAGGGAGCTGCCCTGCGGTGTCAGGCAGTTTGGCGTGCAGGGGGTGTCCAGCTCCCTCCATTCCCCCTTGCTCTGGGATGCCGTGGGTTCCCTCTCCAGCCAGAGCCCGTGACAGCCAGCTGGGGGCAGGCGACACCAGCAGAAGGAAGGCTGAGCTCTGTGCTGGCTGCCAGCAGCTCCTGCCGCGGTGGGGCCGGCACAGCCCCGAGGGACAGCCCCGCAGGAAGGGGTCTGACCACCCAGCACATCCTGTGCACCGACCGTGCACTGCCCATGCAAATGAACAGGTCTGTCTGATGAGCCAGAGCCCCTCCGAAGGGTGGGAATTCAGCCTACAGCCCCTGCACAAATCCAAGGGATGCTTCAGCCTCCTGCGTGAACCACCTCCTGCATCCTTCTCCTGCTCTAACAGTGGGGCAGGGTCCAGCCAACACCTGGAAAGCCAAAATGAGGTGAGACCTGGATCATCGGTTATGGCAAGCCCCACGCAAAAGCCTCACTGCCCGTGGCACTCAGCTCCTCACATCCCAGGCTCTGCCTTGCTCCTCTTCCACAAAGCCCAGCAGAGCTGGGGAGAGCAGGCAGAAGGAAACGTTCCTGGGGAGCAGAGCTCCCTGCAGGGCAGGGAGGAACTCCTCCTATCTGCAGGTATGAACCCATGTAATTCATCTCAGCAGATTTCATGAGCCTTCAGAGTCTTCAAAGGACATCTCTGTCAGAGCCTGGGCTGTGGGCTGTGTAACCTCCGACGTGTTGAGACAAGGGAGGAATGCAAGCCCTGGTGCTGTATCTCATGGGAACAGTATCAAGAATGTGGCCCTGTTAGTCTTCAGAGAGAAATACACCCAACTTAGTCTATTGCCAGTTTCTTAAATTGCCCAGCTTGCTTGTTTCACTTCCGCAGGGATTTTTCTTTTATTCAAGACAGAAGTAAAGGCACTGCATATCCCTGGGTGTGTTTTCAGATCCAGAGGGGAGATGCTGCTCCCTGACACATCAGTGTGAGCCCGCTTAATTACAGCTTCTACTTACATGGGGAAGGAAGCACAGTGCCAGCAGTGGAGGCATCTGCTTCCTTTGAAAATATTCAGTACAAGGCTGTTAACATCTCTGAACTACCTTAAAACACTACACAAAAAGCATGAAACACATTCCCCTTACTTACACACAGTGTAACACATAACAATTCAATCTGGAGTGACCATTTCTATCCATAACTACACCCGTATTTCATACACTAGAACAGTGCCCAAGAAACCCAGACAAGGCATTTGGTGTATTAACCTGGGTGCACGAGGTGAGAAAACCCACGTGGACACCTCATTGCACTTCAGAGCCTGCCACAGAGCAGCTCTTGATGCTCAGAGCCAGATTTATGGGTAAGGGAAATAAGGAGCTTTTCCATCTGCTTCCACAGGGCCATTCCATATGGTGGCTGCTCCTGTAGCCCATCCAGCAGGCTCCACACTCAGCCTGAGCATTCTCACCTCCTCCTGCTCGACAAAGTTTCTTCTTGCTCAACGTGAGTCACTTTCAGGACTTTCTTGTCAATGAAAAGGTCTTCTGGATAATTAGCTGATCGAATCTGCCTCTGCTGAGCGTGGCCACACAACCGGCTGATCTGGAAAACACAAACACAGCAGTGTGAAGAGGAAGTGTTGGGACTGCAGGGAAACAGCTGAGATGCACACTGGCACCTGCACATGAGCTGCTATCCTCCTGTCATCCCCATCTCGCTCATAGCTCAGCAAGCACCTGAAAGCAAAATTCTGTCCTAAGCTTACAACCTGGCTTTTGTATAAAGGGGAAGGAATGCAGGAAGGTTCAGGCAAAATGTCATTGAAGTGCCCCTGTGGCTATCAAAACCCCTGAGCTGCAGGTGTGACAGGCAAATCTCCCTGTGTCAAGTTAAACTTAGGCTGGCAGGAGAGGGCTTGAGATGTTCCCTGCTCCTTCCTTCCTGAACACCACAGCATCTCAAGGCTCTGCACTCTAGCCCTCCAGTCAGACTTTTAGCAAACACCTTACCTCTGAAGGAAAATTCTAAGACCCTGGTTCTCTATCTTGAGGTAGCTCAGCATCTGCACAGACTGCACTGCAGATGCCCAGGGATGAGCATCATACACATTACTACTAATTAAAAAACCCAGGGCCTAAAATACAGCAAGCACTGGGGCCACAGCCCAGTCATGCTGTGGGAGGCCCTGATTAACAGGGCTCTGCTAATGGCACAAATTAGCTCATTAGCATACAGATTATTTGGGAACTGCCTGCAGCAGTGAGGGAAGGAATCCAAAGTGCCTCTGTTCAAGCTCCCTCACATGGCCACTGTCCCAAGACTGACCCAGCAGTGGCCACTGCTGCAGTCCCTGCTGTGCGTGGATTTGCCACCATTTCCTTCTCTGGGACACTGTCAAGGCAGATCTGTCCCCCTGTGGCACCACTGCCACTGTCAAAGTCTCCTTTAGATCCACCCTGTGCTGCTCTTGCAGGACTCACCCACGCTGGCCTGTGAAAGGAGTTTGGCTGATTGTGGGGACCACAAAGGCACCACAGCTAACAGCACCCTGACTTCCTCTGAGCCTCATCCCACCACCCACATTCGGGCTTGGGACCAACCACATGCCCATGAAATGCCTGTTCCTTGCAGCACCTCATTTATTTCCACACCACGTTGACTCAAGGCAATCCCAGTGAGCTGCACACCAGAGGTTAAAAGCACACCTGCCACCCAAAGCTACAAGCATCTGATGTGTAAAGAGAAGAGATTAATTCTGTTCTATTACATCCTACATTTGGGTGGGCAAATAAATTAGTAATGTCACCTCTTTCATTATCAAGAGCAGCACAGTTTGTTTGCTCAGGCTGCCGTATAACAAAGAGTAAAACAGAAACCTCCTGGGAGCTGGGCACTGCAGTTTCTGTTCACATCACAGTGGGAAGAGATGCTGCCACCAGTCCTTCTGCACCTGCAGCTTCCTCTGCCAAAGCAGTTCCTCCTGCAGCTGCCAGGGGAGCAGTTTCTGCAGCATCTTACCTGTTTTTCCTCTTCTGTCCTCCCTCGGCTGTGCCTCCTCTCTGCCTTGCCAAAACCAAGTTTTGCAAAAGAATGTATCAGCTCTACTGCCCTTCCTACATCACTTGGCAGGCCTCAAAAACAGAGGGAGGGAGGGATTCAGAAAATGGATCACATTTTGGGCTATTTTATTTGCCTTTTGGGCTTTCTGTTAGCACTCATCCCTCTCAAATGTTTACAGGTAGTCCCCTGATGCAAGCAGACAGGAATAGGAGGATATCACAGGACAACAGGAGACCTGGAGAAGGATTTAGGATCTGAGACGCCCTCACTGTGGAATGGGCCTGGACATCCAGTGCCCTCTCTATACTGGCTGGTGCCACTGTCCCTGCAAAGGGCAGACCAGCAGGACAGTGTCAGGATGCTCAGGGCATCTCTGTGGGCTTTTCCTCTGCCCAAGTCAGAGATGAGACCTGCCATGAAACCTCCTCCAGGAAAACACAAGATACACAAAAGCTCCAGGACAGTGGGTACAGAGGAAGCAGTGCCACAAAGCAGCACCCATGCTCTGAACGCTCACATAAAGTGGAGAAGTGGGAAAAGGTCAGACACTTCAAGCTGCTGTTTGTGATGACTCCCTTTGATTCTCCCCAGCTCTGTGAAAATCCCCCCAGTTCCTTTCCAAAGCCCAGTTTTCAGCTGGCAAAACCTACCAAACCCTGAGAGAACAGCAAGTCCAGGATCAAGGCTTTTCCCCAAGGATGCAGAGAGGCACTGAATAGGAGGGGAGGGTCAGAGTGACAGCGTGAACAATGGCAGCACCCGAGAGCTGCTTCAAACAGCAAAGGCACCCAGCAAAGTGGGGATCCTTCATCTGCCACCCAGCACTGCAGGCAGCTCAGCCCCTCTGCCCCCAAGTCCTGCTCAGGAGCTGCAGCTCAGCTGCATCCTCACAGCCCCACACAGCATCTGGGTACCAAGGCTCCAAGATTCACTAAATGAATAAGGCTGGAAAGACCTCTACAATCACTGAGTTCAATGGTTGATCAAGTCAAATCATTGATCACCAAGTCCAGCCATCCCTCCTGTGGATTGTGTTAGCTGTGACACGGGACAGCAGATGAAATCTTTGCGGACAGAAGGATGCACTGCTCCAACTTTCCACCGAGTTTTTACTTATTTATTTATTCAAGCACTAATTAACCTTTTCAGGAAAAAACCCCAACCCTGCAGCCCATCTTGTGAAGTCACAGTGAAATAGTTGTCACCCTTTAGTCAAACAAAAACGTGGCTGAGATTTGAACTTTAAAATAAAGTGAGCCAAAGTAGAAGTAACAGATTGCCTGCTCATTTGCAGGGGCGGCATCGTGTATGCTTTTTGGGGGAGGGAAGGATTTCACAAACCATCTGCCAAAGGCTGCTGGGCCACAAGGAGTCCTAGGACAACAGCTCAGAAATCCTGTTTCAATCTTTCCCTCTTTTTGAGTCCACACTGCAGGCTCAGGAACACATGAACACAGCTTCCCAGTCTCTTCCTAACCATTGCCATTTTAAAGCAGGCTCCAAAAAGAAAAGAAAAATGCCACTATAGGGCAGTCAGGGAAAGGACAGATACTAGCTCAGACCTTGAGGAGAAACAAGTGTGATGATTCAGCTCTCCACGTATTGCTTGCTCTGGCAGGAGCAAGGACAGTGTGGTGTGTCTGCAAGAGGGAGAGCAAAAGGAAGGGAGCATCTCTAATCCAGTTGCCAAACTTGTATCAAGCAACAGTGTTTAACAAGTGGTTTCCTTCCAACACACAGATAAAAATGTGAAATTCAAAGCAAATTGACAGAACAGAACCACTGGCTCTTCTCCTTGGGCTCTCCACACTACCAGGGGGACTGTAAATATACACCAGCCCTTATCTATAGTACAGTCAGTGCAAGAGCTCTGCCTTAATTCAGAATAGGCTGAAGTTTGACACATTAAGCCACAAAAAAATGACTAAGTAAATCAAATGCCAGAGTGCTTTTTAGACAACAGGAGCTGGACTTTATCTGAAAAACTGCTGCAAGGGGACACCAGGCAAGAAAAACCTTCCCAAAGCCCTGAGCTTTTACAAACCCCCAAAGGCACCAACACTTTTACAGCCCAAGCAAAACTACCCTGCCCCAGCTCATTAACAAACTCACTAATTACCCTATTTAATTAGCCTCCTCCATGAGGAGTGTGACCCAGGCCACGAAGGGAACACTTTGGGAGCATCCACTCCTCTGCTGCAGCCACAGGGAGGTACCAGAGCCGGGCTGGGCAGGGCCAGGGCCAGCAGCTGGCTCCAAACCCGCGGGGCTGCACGCCTGTACTGGCTCAGCTTCAGAGGGAACATCGGTTTGAGAGGAGCACAGGGACACGGCTAATGGAGTCAGCCCACTTTAAGGCTGCCCCATTAATTTAAGAGGTAAGAGGTGCCTGAGGACTGCAGGGACCAGATTCACTGCCAGCTGAGCTGATGCATGGGTGTAAAGCACAGCGCTGATCCGCGTGGGTACCTGCCAGCCCACGGCGGGATAGCTGGGGTTAATCATCAAAGAAATAGTGACCACAGTAGCAGGCTCTGTGCAAAGCATCACAGCTGATGGAGGGCACCTCCAGCCTGGCTATGGCAGGATGGCACCCCTGACACCACTGAGGCTCCTGATGAACCTGCTCTGCTGCCAAGGCACGAGCAGCGTGGCCACACTGGGCAAAAACATCTTATCTTGCACATCAGCAAGGAAATCCAGGGTGAAAGGATTGGAAAGCAGCACACCGGGATCCTCAGTGCCAATCTGAACTTTGCTTTTAAGAGTAAGAACATTTTAAAGGTAATTTTTAGATGATTTAGAAGAAAAAAAAAAAAAAGACAAAAAAAGTAGCTAATCAGCTTCTCCTTGGACAAGAAGGGATTGCATTAGACACTGCTGGATACCTGCCACTTCTCATTCAGCCCAGGAGCTCCACTCTGCTCTAAAGGAGAGTTTGCTGTATTTGACCTTTGCTTAAACTTTACATGGAGTTTCCATTTGTCTTTTCTATGAATTCTTCTGCTTATAGATTCATTCTCCAGGAAGACACAGTATTTTTTTCCCCTCAAGGGGATGGCCTCATTTTTGTAGATTTTCTCCTCCAATCTCTTTTGCTCTCTGGAGTTCACATAAGTCATTTTATACTTATTCGTGAGTTTCCTTTGGGAGAAGCCACACATTAAACTGAAAAGAGATTAGCTATTATAATTGATTTGAACACGGCTTCTGAAAGGGTGGTTTGCTACAGAATGCACAGAACATCAAGAGACCACAGACATGCTGCCTTTGGAGGAACCAACTGATGCCCAACCCCGAGCATCCTCCAGTGATGGAACCCAGTTTGACCAGTGAGCCTGAAAGCCTCAGTAAGGCAGCAGCTTCAATTGGTGCCTCTTCCCCAACTCTTTTCAACAACCTGCTCCACTACACATCACAAGTCTTATTAGCATTATAAAGATCGCATTTGTGCCCTGTTTATCTTCAAAGTCACCATAAAAGTGAACCTGAAGTCTATTACTCAAGTGCTGCTACAGAATTCCGCTTAATTAAATTCTAAA